GGTGCTGGGGTGACGGGTGCTGGGGTGACGGGGTGCTGGGGTGACGGGGTGCTGGGGTGACGGGGTGCTGGGGTGACGGGGTGCTGGGGTGACGGGGTGCTGGGGTGACGGGGTGCTGGGGTGACGGGGTGCTGGGGTGACGGGGTGCTGGGGTGACGGGGTGCTGGGGTGACGGGGTGCTGGGGTGACGGGGTGCTGGGGTGACGGGGTGCTGGGGTGACGGGGTGCTGGGGTGACGGGGTGCTGGGGTGACGGGGTGCTGGGGTGACGGGGTGCTGGGGTGACGGGGTGCTGGGGTGACGGGGTGCTGGGGTGACGGGGTGCTGGGGTGACGGGGTGCTGGGGTGACGGGGTGCTGGGGTGACGGGGTGCTGGGGTGACGGGGTGCTGGGGTGACGGGGTGCTGGGGTGACGGGGTGCTGGGGTGACGGGGTGCTCAGATGGAGCTGGGGTGAAGGAGTGTGGTGGTGGGTGGTGGGTGGTTGGACCTGTGATGGCATGTGGGAGGAGACCAGGCGAAGACCAAAGACGTTCACTGCCAAGTGGAGGAAGAAAGAGGAGGAGTACAGGTGAGGGGGATGAGGGTTTGGATTCACTCTCATATCACTTCCCTGATTCGTCTCCCTTGATTTGAGCACCCTTCTTCCTGGAGGTTCCCATCAGCTTCAAGGCCCAGCCCCTTAAAGCCCTCCCCCCTCCACCCCTACCCCCTTCTCCCCCAACCCCCCTCTCCCCCTCTCTCATTCTCCCTGCAGGTTCACATTCGCCTCGTGCCCCATGCCTCCTGATGCCCGCTCTCCCTCCACCCATCCATATCTCCTCCGTTTCCAACCCCACCGCTCTATTTCCTCCCTGCTCCAACCCTCATCCTCCCCCCCGGCCGCCCCTTGCGGTCATTCCCTTCTCCCTCCAGGTTCACATCCGCCTCGTGCCCCCTCCCTCCTGATACCCCCTCCCGTTCCAACCATCCACATTCCCCCTCTCCTCTGTTTCCAACCCTCTCTCCTGACCTCTGTTTGCCCCCTGACCTTTCTCCCTGCAGGTTCACATCCGCCTCGTGCCCCATGCCTCCTGCTGTCCTCTCCCCCTCCACACCTCCCCCTCTACGCATCTCCTCTCTCCTCCACCTCGCCTCCTCGCTCCTCTCCCGTGCCTTCCCTCCTCCTCCTCCAGTCTCTGCCGCTACGTCTGCTGTTGCTGCTGCTGCTGCTGCTGGTGCTGCTGGTGCTGCTCTTGCTGCTGCTGTTGCTGCTGCTGCTGCTGCTGCTGCTGCTGCCCCTGTTGCTGGTGCAGCAGCTACCGCTGCTACAGCTGCTGAGATCGGACTACCTGGCTCTAGAGAGGCTGCCGCGCTGCTTCCTGTGGTGGTGATCAACGTGGGAGCCACGAATTTCGTTTCTTCCCCTCAGCCGTCCCAATCCGGGCAGCCAGGGAGTGGTGGTGCTGGGTGCCTGGCGAGGTGGCTGAAGCCCCGAGGAGCGAACGCAGGGCCGAGGGTAGTTGAGGAGAAGGATGTAGGTCAGATGATGCAGGGGTGCCCACATGTGTCAGATGATGCGCTATGTGCGGTACCTGCTGTCGACAGTGGGTGCTCTCTGGTGCTTCAGCCAGGGAGTGCTGCTGCTGGGAGCCTGGAGAGGTGGCTTAAGCCACGAGGAGTGCATGCAGGGGAAGTGGCAGCTGGGGAGGGGGATGTGGAGCAGAGAGATGCGGTACCGGCTGATGAGAGGGGGTGCTCTCAGCTGGTTGAGCAAGGAAGTGCTGCTGCTGGGTGCCTGGCGAGGCGGCTGAAGCCCCGAGGAGTGGATGCAGGCCCGATGGTGCACGGAGAAATCAAGAAGGGAGATGGGATACAGGAAGAGGTGGCAGGGAGAGATGTGTTACCTGCTATTGCAGATGACAAGGAGAGATGTGTAGAGAGTGGGTGCTCTCAGCTATTGCAACCAGGGAGTGCAGCTGCTGGGAGCCTGAAGCGGGGGCTGAAGCCACGAGGAGCGGGTGCAGGGCGGCTGATGGTAGAGGGAGATCTGAGCCAGGGGGATAGGATACAGGAAGAGGTGACTAGGCGAGATGTGTTACCTGCTGTAAAGAGTGGATGCTCTCAGCTATTGCAGCCAGGGAGCGGTGCTTCTGGGAGCCTGAAGCGGTGGCTGAAACCACAAGGAGTGCACCCAGGGCAGATGCCACCGCGAGGGCTGATGCAGAGACAAGCAGAGGTGGGTAGAAATGCTGAGATGAGTGGAGCCTTGGCGGGACAAATGGAGGCGAGAGAACCAGCGCGTGTTGGGGAGGGGGGCAGTATGGAATGCGCCAATGTTGTTCCCCCAAAGCAATGTGGTCTTCTGGTGAATGATGATGCCAGAGAACAGTGCTCTGCCGGTAATTTGCTCGGCGGATTGTGGAATTGTGGAAGAGATGCAAAGAGGGGCCGAGACTGGATGCTCGGTGGTGGCAAGGGGAGCAAACGCTTCTGTGAGCTTCAAGATGTGGATCCTGGTGCAGAGTGTGCAACCGCCTGTGACACAGAGTGTGCGACCACTTGTGACACGGAGTGTGCGACCACATGTGACACAGACTGTGCAGCTGCACATGACATGTGGACGTCAGAGGGCACTGCGTGTGAGGAATGTGGGAAGCAGATCCTGGCGGAGAAGGTGGAGGAGCACCTTGATTTTCACTTTGCATTGCGGCTTGAAGCGGAGGAAAGGGGGGTTTCTACGAGCTCAAGACAGACCTTCCGGCTAAAACGGGAGGTGTCACGCCTTGATAGCAAGCACACCCGGAGTGAGATGCAAAGGAAACGTCCAAAACGTGTAAGTGCAAATAAGTGTGGCACTAGACCCGGTGCCAAGTCTACGGATGGGTTTCCAACGGGCAAGTCAAGCATCAACAATACGCTGGATGCATTTGTGTCTCGGCACGCCTTGTTGAAGGAATGAAGCATTGGGCGTATTAAAATTTTAAGCTGTTGTGGACAATTTCCTCTTGTAAACGACTAGTTTTGGCCATTCTAATTTTGCATGCCAAATGCCATTTTCATCGAAGTCATATGCTCAATGTATCCAAATACATTTCACCCTCATTCTCGCGTGATTCGTTTTGTGGGCAGCACATTCGTCTCCCTCAGGTCACCCCAGCGAAATCATCGTTAGCATGCCGTGACCGGCTGGCGGTGGGTGGGCAGTTGCCAGCGTGGCTGCCCCCTTATGCTGTGCGTCAGCGCTTCCACCATGCCGTGCCGCGCACGACGTCGGGTGTGGAAGGACCAACATGGGGACGTCTCCCTCCAGAATCTTGGGAGCAGCACGTTTCGAGGGAACAGCCTCCATTGCCGGGAATGTCCCCCTCAGAATTACATCTCAGGGCTCACGCTAAGGGCTGTTTATAGTAGGTGTCATCCTGAAAAAGTGTCATCCGAGAATATTGGAAACCCATCGCAACCGTTATTCTGAAACTTCAACGGTTGCGATGGGTTTCTAACATTCTCGAATGCCACTTTCTCTGGCTGACACCTAGTAGAAACACGTCCTCAGAGCGGACTCGAAGTAGCCGAGGTCGTTTTTTTCAATCAGAGTCGGCAAATTTTGTACATTAAAGCTAATAGCCGACGTCGGATATAAAAAATCGGATTCCGTGAAATACTACCCACTAACGTAAATCCAACCTCATCATAGTGCCTGTTCACAGCTAAGGGGGAGCCAAGAGAGCCGTAAGGTGTGAGCCGTTTCTCCCTCTTGCTGGTTCGGAAGTAGAAAATCCTCCCGCTAACCTCTCAACAGAACACCAACGTAGGGAATCCATTGCTGTCACTGGATTCGCGGAATGGCGGGGGGAAAAGGGGGGCGGGGGGGCGGAGGGTAGGGATGATATAGAACAGTGCTGGCATATTCCACTCTACAAATGAGCCAAGTACGGAATCAACGGGGACTAGTCGGAATCTCCAGGAGCGCACGAAAGTTGATCTGTTAAGCGGACAGTATTAAACATTGTTACATAAACAACGTCTCTTAATTTCTCTGAAAGAAGGGCGACTACTCTGTTGAAAATAGGCTTATGATTGTATATTTCTGTACGTACCCCTCGGGAGAAATTGGGGCTTGCCCACTTATGGAATTCCGCCACCCATCGAGAATGCACCTTCTGGGAAAGCATTGAACCTTTAGGGGGGGTCTAAATATTTCAATTGGGGGTTTTGGACCCGTTTTTACGAACTCGGGTACGACAGCTGAAAACGATCCTAGAATCGTTTCCTCCCTAAACCGCGTCTCATATTGCGAATGAAACAGAAGCTGGCGCAAACTGGGTGCGTCCCAAAAAAACGGTTTGCGTCAGACGCCCCAAATCGCAGTTACCAAATGTCGGAGCTTGCGAAAAAAACGATTCGTGCTGGGTTAAATGGCAGGTGTGATTTGGCGTTGCGCCACGCGAACTGTTCGCGAGGTCGCCTTATTCTCGCTAAGCCTGGCTTGGCGAAACCCCAAAGCGCCACACGTGTCCACCGATACCAGAACCAAAACGTAATCCTAACGTCACCGAATCGTAAATAAATCATGTGCATTCACATGCATCGAGCGTCCCGAGTTGCGTCAATATCGCGCACGTGTCCCCGCGAAATCCAAACGAGGTTAAAATCGGGTTACTTTTCACGAAATGAATAGAGTGAATTATCTAGACCCGCCCTTAGAAATTGCACCCCTTGGATTGCATTCTCGTGGTTGCACCCGTGAATTCAGGACAGCTTCCGCCCTTTGCACGTTCCGCCGCGTTTCCGTGCCAAGCGTGCTTTCCCTTTCCCCGCCTGTTGTCCGCTCCGCTCTAGGCAAACCAAACAACCACGCCAACCATCACTTTCCAACCAATCCCGCTGCCAGTGGTGGTTCCCCCAAGCGCGCGCGATTCGCTCCTTCCGCCAGCAGCACTCCGCCCCCTCGCTAGCACCCCTTCCCACTTCCGTTTTGCCTCCCATAAAGAACCTGCCGCTCTGCTGCTCTCTCAGAGCATAACGTAGACCCGTTTCTTGAAACGCATGCGCCTATTCCTTCGCTTAACAACACCCACTCCAAACACTTCAGTTGACATCGTGTGCAGTAGAGTAACACACTAGGTTCTTGCCTCTTTGAAAGTCAACTGCGCGTCCCTCGACTCGGAGTACACTTCAAAACTTCTGAATTCAAGTAACGCGGCGCTAAGAAAAAAACTCGTCAGCCATGGATCAGATGCTCGGATGCCTCCAGGTGGACCAATCAACGGTCGCGATGATCGAGCATTTCGGGCGGTTCGTGCGCGCGCTCGACCCGGGCTGCTACTGCGTCCCGTGGTGCTGCTGCTACCGCACCGCGGGGCTCATGAGCCTTCGCATTAACCAACTCGACGTGCGCTGCGAGACTAAAACGAAGGACAACGTGTTTGTGACAGTGGTCGCGTCGATTCAGTACCAGGCCATTCGCGAGCAGGTCGAGGACGCGTTCTACCGCCTCGCGGACCCTCAAGCTCAAATCCGTTCCTACGTCTTCGACGGTACGCGCCCAAATTTATTCCTGCCTTTGAAAGGGCTGCCCCCCTGACAACACGTCACCGTCTATGTGACTGTGGGCGTCGATTCAGCTCCCAACTATCATCCCACGTCGTCGATTCCGTTCCCGTCGGCTGGACAGACGGTACGCGCAGCTCTCCTCCAGCTATTAACCCAAGTCCTGGCTTCACGGTCTGAGGGATGCTCTCATCAAGAAGTGACCAGCGACATTTGATGCGACATTTGATGCGACATTTGATGCGACATTTTATGCGACATTTGATGCGGCATTTGATGCGACATTTGATGCGACATTTGTATCGAAGAACGAGATTGCGTAATGCGTTTCCCCGCCTCCCACTTCCCCCCCCCTCCCCTCCCCCCGGCCCCCCCCCGGCCCCCCGCGCGTCTTTTTCCGCGCGCAGTTGTGCGCAGCAGCGTGCCCAAGATGGAGCTCGACGAGGTGTTTATATCGAAGAACGAGATCGCGCAGAACGTGGAGAAGGAGCTCGAGAAGGTACGGAGAACCTGGCCTTTGAAGAGACCCATCAATGACTTTCGAGGTGACTTTTGAGCAGACTCAAAAGTTAAAATTCACCTTTCGAGCCACCTTTTGTGTTGCTTATATCGAAGAACGAGATCGCGCCGAACGTGGAGAAGGAGCTCGAGAAGGTACGGAGAGAGCGAGACCTTCGACTGTCAGGTATGGCGAAAACGAGTATTTTGAGTCGACTCAGAAAGAAGATTGCGCAGAACGTGAAGGAGCTCGAAAAGGTACGGAGAGAGGCAAGTAAACGAGTGGAAGCCTTTTTTTTGTGAATTCTCAAAATGACTACCCCGTGGCAGATAAACGATGTTTCGTGCCGTTGGCAGATTTTTTTTATTTTTATTTTTAACCCCGACAGGCCGCCGAGACTGCTATTGTTCAAATGCCTCCCTCCTGCACTTCCCTTTCGCTCATAGTTATGCTCAAACCCCAGGATGTGCTCCCCGTGACCCCGTGACCCCATGACCCCATGACCCCGTGACCCCATGACCCATGACCCCATGTCCCCATTCCCCATGACCCCATGCGCCATGACTCCATGTACCATGACCCATGACCCATGCCCCCATGACCCCATGCCCCCATGACCCCATGATGCATGACTCATGACCTGACCCATTACTACATACCCCATGACGCTCATTATGCCCTCCCTGAACACCGCAGGCCATGCACGACTATGGCTACCGCATCGTGCAGACGCTCATCGTGGACGTGGAGCCGGACGAGCGAGTTAAGGTCGCCATGAACGAGATCAACGCAGGTGGGTGAGAGTCAACGCAGGTGGGTGAGAGTCAGCGCAGGTGGGTGAGAGTCAACGCAGGTGGGTGAGAGTCAACGCAGAAGGGTGAAGGTCAATGCAGGTGAGTGAGTCAGCACACGTCTGTGAAAGTCATTGCTGGTGTTTGAAATCCGGCACACCCCTCCGCAACCCACCTCGCCTCACCCCTCCGCAACCCACCTCGCCTCACCCCTCCGCAACCCACCTCGCCTCACCCCTCCGCAACCCACCTCGCCTCACCCCTCCGCAACCCACCTCGCCTCACCCCCACCTCACCCCACCCTCCAGCCCAGCTCATTCGGCAGGCGACCCAGGAGAAGGTCGGAGGTGGAGGAGATTCTGCAGGTCAAGAAGGTGGAGGCCGATGCCGGTGTCTGGGCTATCTCAAACCAACGGTTCCCTTGACTCCTTTCCCCCGTCTTTCCCTGGTCCTCCCCCCAGCCCCTCCAGCCCAGCGCATTCGGCAGGCGAACCAGGAGAAGGCGGAGGGCGACGCCGAGGCTCCAACTCCACTCTTCCCCTCTTCCCCTCTGCCACCCCCCCCCCATCCCCCTCCAGCCCAGCGCATCAGGCAGGCGACTCAGGAGAAGGCGGCTTCTGATTGACTCATACAATCTCCTCCCCGTCATCCCATCACAACTCACCTCACCCCCCCCCCCCCCCCCATCCCCCTCCAGCCCAGCGCATCAGGCAGGCGACTCAGGAGAAGGCGGAGGCGGAGAAGATTCTGCAGGTCAAGAAGGCGGAGGGCGACGCCGAGGCTAAGTACCTCGCTGGCGTGGGTGTGGCTCGGCAGAGACAGGTACGGCATGGGTGTGGCTTGGCAGAGTCAGGTAGGGGCATGGGTGTGACTTGACAGAGTCAGGTACGGGCATGGGTATGGCTTGGCAGAGTCAGGTACGGACATGGGTGTGGCTTGGCAGAGTCAGGTACGGGCATGGGTGTGGCACGGCAGAGACAGGTACGGGCATGGGTGTGGCACGGCAGAGTCAGGTACGGGCATGGGTGTGGCACGGCAGAGACAGGTACGGGCATGGGTGTGGCACGGCAGAGTCAGGTACGGGCATGGGTGTGGCACGGCAGAGTCAGGTACGGGCATGGGTGTGGCACGGCAGAGTCAGGTATGGGCATGGGTGTGGCACGGCAGAGACAGGTACGGGCATGGGTGCGGCACGGCAGAGTCAGGTACCGGCATGGGTCGTGCTCCGTTCCCCATGTCAGCCAAGTGCTTGCTCCCTATGCTCCCCATGCCATTGCCACCCAATTAATTGCTCTCCGTTACACACATTCCATTTACGATTTGACACTCGTGGACCCGCAACCTGGTTAAACCTTCCTTTAAACCCGGTTACCCTGGTCTAAACATCCAATGTCTGCATATTCCCCACAGACCATAGTGGATGGGCTGCGGGCGAGCATAATGGGGGTTTCCTCCCCTCTGCCCTTCCGTCTCAATCTGTTACTCCTGGTTTCGCCCCCTTGCACACACTCCTTGCACCACTAACCCCTGAATTCCTGCAGGCCATAGTGGATGGGCTGCGGGAGAGCGTGATGGGGTTTTCCTCGCAGGTTCCTGGAACCAGCGCCAAGGACGTGCTGGATATGGTGAGAAACGGACCAAGGGATTGCGTTGACTGTGGGTTTGACTTGCATTTACTGGTGTTGACTTGCATTGGCTCACTGCCTGAGATTAGCCTTTGAGTACCTGGATATAGCAAAGCACGCTCGTCCCCTCAGTCCATCTGTTTCTCTTAAGTCATGCTCCAAATGATTTGTTCATTTTGTAGTTGAGAGCACACCCCCATCCCTCCCTCGTTTACTCCCTTCCCCCCTTCTCAACAGGTGATGTTAACGCAGTATTTCGACACAATGAGAGACATTGGAGCCAACAACAAGTCATCGACAATCTTTATCCCACATGGTCCCGGGAATGTGGGTGATATTTCCGCACAAATCAGGGATGGCCTCACTCAAAGCATAGTGGCGTCTAAGAATATGTAGTCTAGGCAATAACGATTCGACCGTTAGCAGGTACGCTATATGGAATGATGTTTATATTGTGGGCTGATTTTGTGGGTTTGTGGAATAAGATTAGGGACCACTTTTTAGGTGGTGTAGCATTTTCGTTGTTGGCTCTCTGTGTATGTTAGTCCTCGCTACTGCATCTTCAAACGCAAAATGCTGTGTAACGAGAGCAGTCAGTGGTGGAGCTGGACCGATGTGCGAGGGATTGGTGTGTCCCCTACTTCGTGCCCGCTGATTGGTTGGGTGACTTCTACAGCACATGGAACAACGAACCACGCAACCAGGGCTTACTTTTGGTTTTTAGTCACCGTTAAAAAATCAGGCTCTTGGAAATTTTACCCTTAATTTTCAAGCTCCAGCGAAAGGCAACCCTTAATCATTAGGGTTCGTTTGCGCAGTACCCCTTTTACGGCCACTGTTAGAATCTACCAGGAGATGTATGGACAAGACGAAATGGGCGCGAGTAACGTGCATGGGGTTGTGAGGGGAGAATGACGAAAATTCACTAAGTGAGTTGTCTCCCCTCTATTTGTGATAACGAGGTGTGAGTAACGTGCAGTGTGGGGAGAAGAGCGAAACCTTCTAAGGGAGTTATCTCCCCTCAGTCAGTTGGTGTGAGTACGTACTGTGAGGGGAGAACAACGAAAATCTTAAGGAGAGCCCCCCTGTAGCCCTACAAGCACTAGTAGTACACTCAGGGTAGGAAAAAGATACACCCTTAATGTTAAGGGTTGCATTTTTCATAAACCCTTAATCCCCGGGTTCATAAACATCCAGCCCTCAATTTGTGGTGCCAGCTAAAAAACTACTTTTTATTTGACTCAAATTCAGGGCAACATTTCTTGAAAAATAGGCCCTGCACGCAACACAACACAACATTTTCATGCGACAACGCTGCAACAGAGAGCGAACCAGTCTGCCCCACCCACGAGAAGCCGCAAAATCGTCTAGGTGCGGCTAGGGTCACGCATGACCAACTGTGAATCAACAGCATCGCTGGCTTGCAGCTCTCTCCCTCTCTCCCTCCCCCTCCCCTCCCCGGCCCCGCCGTAGTTGTTGGATGGCGTGGCGTGGCGTGCAGTGTGATGCCGTTACGACCTCGAATCTCGACACCTCAGGCCGAGGACGAAGAACCACCACCACCCACCCAACCATGAAAGTCCATCCATCTCCCAACCAGCCAATCCCAAACCAAATCATCCCACCCCATCCATCCTTCCATCCACACTACGGATACGCCCGAATCGACGACGCTCGACGATCGTGCGTCTTTCGGCGGGTCAAACCGCCCAGCCCAACCACACAAACTTTTCGTCTACAGAAATCGCATTGACCATCCTTGCTGTATCGTGTCGCGTGAGTGGTCTGGTCTGGTCTGGAATCTGGTCACAACAACAGCAGCCCAGGCTTGGGGGCACCCAAGGATTTTCTAACGAGAGATGCTGTCCTCGGTCTTGGGATTTCTCCCAAAAGATCGTTGGGTCAAGGCCCCCCACGAACGATCAGAACCATTTTTTTTCAGATATTTTGAGAAATGTGCATGATCACAATGTAGTGGAATGATGAATCAGATGGAATTAACGAACCTGGAAAGACTCTAGCATGGTGGAGCTCCTACGGTAGCACCATGCTACGCTCTCCCCACCATGCGGCTACTAATTTCTTACAAACCCTCGCAGCTTCTGCTCCGAGGCATTCTATGGTTAGCATAGCACGGCCACACCTAAGGTGGAAACCCAAGAAACTCCCCTCCTAAGGAAGAACAAATTTCCCCTATGGCTCCAACTGAGACACCACCACGATGGGGCTCAAGAGTAGGCAAATGTGACATTATCAAGGGTGTGAGGTCGGTTTGCTAGTTGGTCGAGGTCGCGAACAATCCGGAACACTGCGTCGGGTCGGGCTAATCGGTGAGCGTTGGTTGCCATCCGCTTGAATTGATCGACCTTGGGTCCAAACCAATCGGCCACTATCCGGGCAATCTTTTGGGGATTCTCCTCGAACAACCCAGCTCCGTTCTTTACAACAAACGGAACATTGCCTGCTTCCTGTTACAACAGAAAAGGGGATACAAGGGAGGAGAAGTTAGGAGAATAGACAGGTGGCTAGAGCAGAATTGAAGTCCAATGGTCAAAGCAACAACACAGATGCAACTGACAAGCCAAGGGGGGAGAGTTTGAAGGCAGACTGACCTGGCCTGCGATGAAGCCGTTCAAGATCATGGGAAGGCCTTTGATCATTGACTCTGCTATGGTTCCTGGACCAGCCTGTATAGACAACAAGGGAACAATGAGGGGAGAATTGACAGGATGAGCACAATGCAAGAAACCAGTGCAAAGAGGAAGCAGATGAAAGCTGAAGCACAGCCAAACATGGGGGACCTGCAAAACGAACAGGGCATCATGTATGGGTTCAGTGTAACAGTGCTACACACCTTGGTGATAATGCAGTCAGAAGCCGCCATAACTTCAGGAATGTTGGTAACCACGCCCTTGATCTGCGTAGGCATGGGCCACGTCATCGCTTCCAATGTCGCCTGCAGCTGCTTATTCCGCCCACAGATAATTATCAGCTGCCCTTTCGCTCTGCCCCCCTGGCGTTTCCGGCGCCAGTGTTGTCGCCAGAGCTCTTGCGGTCACCTCCACAGGGCCCATGCCTTCCCCTCCGCCAATCAGCAGCACCGCTGGCAGGTCCGGATCCATGCCTAGCCCTTGCCGAACCTCGGCTTGAGGTCCGGAAGGCTTGGCGAAGGCAGGGCGAATAGGGAGTCCATGCACGCGGATTTGCGAGGGTTGGAGTCCGGCTTTAAGTGCCTGTTGTGCGACCTCTTTCGTCGGGCAGAAACAAACGCTCACTTGTCGGCTGAACCACGTGGGATGGCAGGTGGTGAGATCCGTAACTACAGTGATGAACGGGATGCGGTGTAGAAGCCCCCTCGATTTAAGCACACGCAGCGGGATGTGCTGCATCAGCGGGTGCACGCTTACAATCACATCCGGCTTGTATTTATCCAACCCCTTCGACACGGTTCGCGCGACGAACGCGAAAGTCGCCGCCATCTGGGGCTGATGCACGAATTTCGGCTTCGTCGCGTAGTAGGTCATCTTCCAGAGGGTCTCGTGTCGCACCAAGAAATTGTAGCTCTTCGGGAGTTGGTTGAACGGCCATGGCGTGTGATCCGTCCACATGTCCACCACGTTGACTTCGTACTTGTCGCCGAACTCCATCTCGAACGTCGATTTCAGAGCCTCCGCGCTCGCGCGATGGCCCCCGCCAGTGTCACTCATCAATATAAGCACGCGCTTTCTCCGCACGGGGTCTTGCACCTTGCGCTCCCACTCCGCCATGGCCATTGCGCGCGCCGCGTGCTCCACGGCGGACTTCGCCGGGCGACCGCGCAGGCGACTGTGGAGAGGTCCGCGACTGCCCTTGCGACCACCTGCGACAGGCAGCCACGCGAAACCGGGGCCAAGGCAGGAGAAGGAGAGGGAAATTAAGTACGGATCAAGGGCGCGGAAGATGGTGAACGGGAAAGGGGAGTGCGGAAACTGTACTGTGGATGGGGAGAACAAACATGGGGGGAAAAGTTACGGGGGTATCTGGACTAAGTTCGCTTGGCGTATCTGGCCTGACGTATTGGGCCTGCAGCTGTCGCCCTGCGAACAGGCGCACATGTTGCCGACAGGGCTACCCTCGACTGTCGAAAATCGGCGCGCAGCCCTTTCTACCGGTCGCCGTTTCAACCCGCCGCTCCAAGCCACAGCTCCTTGCCACTCTCTCGCTCGAACTACCCCCCACCCTCCGCTCCCCGCACTCCGCCGCCATTCCTTGCCCCGTTCCCCTCACCTTTGCGTGCGGCGTTCTTTTTGCCCTCCGCGTTGCACTTGGCGTAGCCGTGGCTGCGCGGGTTGCGCCACAGAAACTGCTCCTTCACGGGCGCGGGGGAAGGGTGCGCGTCCCCCCCCACCACGGGCGGAAGCGGAATGAACGTCGCGGGGGAGGGGAAGGCCGAGGACGACGACCGCACGGAAGCCACCGCAGGAGAAGCGGAAGCGGTTTTGATCCGATACTGCTTGCTCCGATACGGTTTGCTCCTCTGTATCTCCCTTTCCCTCAGACTCGCTGTAATCCCCGTTCCCCTTCTCAGCATCTTCCCCCGCTTCCGCCACTCCCGCCTCCCCGCCTCTTCTGCCTCCCCCTCCCCCTCCCCCTGTGTTTCACTGTAGTCGCCTCGTTCCCCCTCCGCTAGTCTCACCGCCTCCCTCCCCTCAACCTCCAGCATCACTCGCGCCGGAATTTCCGCCGTGACTTCCGCTCCCCTGCGCGTCAACAATATTTGTACTCCGGACGAGACTTCCTGCGGCTCTAGCTCTGCCGAACCTGAACCTTCCGCGCCTGAGCCTTCCGAACTAGAACCTGCCGAGCCTGCGTCAGATCCCGATGTTGAGCAAGGGCCAGATTGCGAATCTGCTGCATCGCCTCCGTCCAATCCAATGCTGTAACCCGACTCGGCGAATATCGCCCTCGCGAAATCGGTCCGGAAAAACGATCTAGGCCCACTTCGTTCCTCGATGGAGCTTGTTGGATGTAAGCTGACCTTCTGGGGGACGAGAGGAAAACACAAAACAATACATCGGGGCACGCTTAAGCGAGGCTGCACTGGTATGCAACAACAGTGAGCAACGCAGCGCCAGATCAGGACACGCAGAAAAGCACCGAAGGAGGATATGCGGAGGGACAGTGGGTTGGAGGGGGTGGTGCGCGGGGGGTTGAAGGGGGGGGGGGGGGAGGGGAGGCTTAGATATAAGCACCTTCACCGGCTTACCTCATGTAGGGACGGGATGGCGTTGAAGGAAAAGGCGACCATGGTGAAGCCGATGACGATGAGAAACACGGACGCGCGGAAACTCAACAGCGCGACGCGCCTCCCTTCTTGCCATTTCTTCGAGAACCATTTACTCGCCTCCGGTATCGAGCTCGGCGTCAGCACCCCCCGCGCTTTCCCCGATTGTAGCTTCCTCGCGTGCCGTTTACAGTCGGGCGTTACTGGGCTCTCGGGGCACGATAACAGCGGCGTAAGGCCGTCAGGAGATTTCGTCATCGGCCCGGGGCTCTGCCGACATGTCATAAAGTACGCGCTTTTCGAGGTCTCTCTTTCACACGGTTTCGCACACGCTGGTAACTTTTCGTACGCGGGGAGTTCCGCAAGTGGCGAGCGTTCTGCGGGGTGGTGGTGGCGGTGAGTGAGGAAGGTAGGAGGAGAAGCCTGCAGATGGATATTCACGGACGGGTGATCGACCATAATAAACTCCGTCGCACCAGAGGCGCGCTGCTACGGCGCCACGTCCGCGCTAAGAGCAGCCGCGGCTAGTTGGAGAGAGTATGGAGGTTTCGGGAGGGCTGAGGTGGAGAGTCGGGAGGTAAGGAGCCGGAGGGTTAACTGGAAACGGCACAATATATGGACACGGGTTAATTGGAGGAGCTATGAGGCGGCGAGCGGTTTGCCGGAAGCTGAGGCCGAGGGGATGACTGGGGCGCAATGCTACAGGTGTTGCGTCTTTAAGCTTCGCTATTTTTTTTTAATATCGGCTTTCGCACAGAATGCAATAAAGCTGCTGCTAGTAGTCTTGTGCTTATTTCGAATCGGCTGATCTATTCGACAGCCATGGTGCCAACCAGCCCGTGCTAATATTGGTCTATGTTCCTCCTGCCACCGATTCCATGGGGCGACGACAGTATCCCACCGAACAACCGACGAGCAACTGAACCTCACAGATACAGAGACAGACATGAAAGCTACACAAGCAGCCACCGATCCAATCCACGACAATTCGCTCTCCGCGTGAGAAATGGAAACTCACTTTGCTCCTCGCCTCCGCCCCTAGGGTAGGCGATGATTCGCGCGGACGATGTTTTTTGTTCGTCTAGCCCTCCGAGCTCTCGCTCTCAGTCGCTCACTCCCTCGCCCGCACCCGCACTAGGTCGCACTGGGTCGCAAGGTGCCGCCGCGTGGGACGAAGAAGCGCGTGGAGGGGGAGGGAGTAGCAGTTCGCTTTCTTTCGTTTCGTCTTGTTTCGTTCTGCTGCCGTCGTCTAGCTAGCCTCTCCCTCGTGTCGCTCCCCTCACGCGCTTCAGGCTGGCCCCGTTTCATTTCATTTTGCCCCTCTCCGGCTACACCCACTGTCTCCCCCCCCCCCCCCGAATTCTCTCCCAAACCAGCCGAGCGCCAGATGCCTGCGGAGACTAGCCCGCTAAGGGGCTACAGTCCTGGTGTGGGGAAGCATTTGTGTGAGCATGAGGTGCGGGCAGAGCGGATAGGTTGATGGATGGGTGGACATGCGGACGGGGAACCACTGTTGTACGGGAGGGCAGCGCTGCTGGTCGCGAGAGCTAGAGGAAATTCCACTGTAGATGTCGGCAAACGGACCTGTCACCGAATGCCGAACTTTTACCGAACCTAGGGTGGTGGTGACATCTCGAGGACGTGGGGCGAACAAAGTAGGGAGCAAGACGCTGCCGCCTCGGCAAACATATATTTTGCCGAGCCGCGTGGGGCGCGAAGGTTCGGGAAATGTGAGAGCCAACCACGCCGAGCAAAAAATCCTCCAAACCTAGCGACAGATTTGAGGTGTGCGATTGAAAACCCTCGGAGGCCTAGACACAGCCGTAGGGTTACTGTTTACGAGCCGTGTCTTGGGCTCGTCACGATGGATGTGACGCCACAGCATGCCGATTCGTGGGTGTTTTAGGAGTCGCGGATGCTTGATGGGAATGGCGGGAACCAATAACAACGGTTTCGTGGCAATCAAACAACGGTAGGCTCTCCACCATGGCGTTTCCGACACCTAGGGCTCACCGAACCTACGACTTCGCCGTACACTCTATTTGTCGAGGCATCGAAGACCCAGTTTCGCCTAAGTAACCCGACGCATTCGCGAAGAATGCTCTTTTGTTTCTATTAAAATATGCTACAGTTAGCTGAAGTCTCCATGACACTCTTATGTATCCATGCCTAAATCAAGTGCTTTGCATATAGTACTTGTTATCATATATATAATCTGTAAATTCACGCGTCATGTGAGGTTAAGATCTCCCTAGGATTTTATTTGAATACAATCTACAATGTGACACAAAATACGCTTTAGTAATACGTATATAGTTGATAATCAATTCTCAAATACTTTAAAGTAAAGAAGCTGCAAATGGAATGATAAAATCTGTTCTGACGTTTTATCATCCTTGAACAATGCAAGAGTCAGCAGCCCATGGCCCCTGTGTCCGCATCGCGCGTGCTGGAATTGGCCGCCGAGATGTTTCTATTGGACGGCCTTTTAGCCCCAGACCAGTCGACAGCGGAATTCGGAAGGCCATGGTGAGTGACAAGACAAAGCCAAGCCAAGCCACGTAAGCACCCCAAATTTCCCAACCCAGCCCCACACAGCACAGCAGCAGGCAACCAGCAAACTCAGCAGCGGCTCGTCACGCGCCTGACGCGGGCTGAAGTTGTGTTCGTTCCCCAGCTTTTGACTGGTGAAGGGGAAGATGTGAAATGTCCCCCATGATTCCTGTTGCTTGGTGTTGGAACAGGCGCCATGGGAGGATTTGACAGCTCAGTCTAGTCAAAGCAAGCGAAGGTAAGTTCACTTCTTTGTTTCCGAGCAAACGACTCCTTCACTATTCCTTCCCAGGCATAGTTTCTTTCTTAGCCTTGGAGCACCAGAGGTTCACAATCCAATCCCACAACCTGCCCAAAACATGGGTCACTTGAGTGCACAAGTCGTCTGTAAATATCTCCCCAGTCATGGCTGGAATATTCGTTGGCACCACTCAAGCAGAGTCCACCAATACGCAGCGAGATTCACACGTCAAAGCCTGGCGCCTTCCTTCCTCACCCTGTCTTCGCCCTTCTTCCTGCCGCAATGCTGGCAATGGCGCGGCTCGAGACACAAGTAATGTGCCGAGGAGAGACGCGGTTCTCCCCCAGAAATGCCTCGTCTTCCCTCGAGGGGCAAGAAGTGTGTCCAGAACAAAGTGCGTTCTATTCTCGCCCCGAACCTTCATTCTTTCAGAATTCGTAGCTAGACGCAGTAGTCCTTGTGCTAACAACCAGCTCCGAGGTTCACGTCTCATTGCTCTATTGTCATGCACTCTGCTCAATACCGCACGACCCCCAAGGCAGCCCTTTCCACCGCCACTAAACGGACCACCCGAAATCGTTCCTAATAACCGTCCTACTACGTACCTGACCAGGATTTCCCGTGCTGTCCAACTTAGTATCTCCCATGGCTACTAAGTCAGTGTGGCCGAACCGCACTTCCCGGGCGCGCCTCCTCCTGCTGATGTTTCTCCTCCCCTCCCTTCACCCATTCCGCGCGCCACATCATCCTTCCGCAAGCCGCAAGCGAGTCCTTCCGCAAGCCTCCAAGCTGCTTCCCCAAGCGACGGAGGTCGAAGCCGTGCGAAACATCCTCACAGCGGCGGGCGTTGCCGACCCCGTCCCGCGTCCCGCGAGCCCCTGCAGCGTGGAAGGCGTCGCCTGCGACGCCAACGACTACGTCACGCGTCGACTTCTCCCCGTGCTCGCGAGCCC